CCTGCGGTGGTGAGGTCAATGGCCAGGTGCCATCTCTGGCCTTCCAGGGAGGAGACTGTGGCTCTGCCCCCCTGGCCCTCAAAGGTCTTGCTCTGCCAGTCCGCGGCTTCTCCCTTCTGGGGAAAGGCCAGTCCCTAGCTCAGCATCCATCATCTCCACTCTGGAGACCTGGTGGACCAGAGCTCAGCCTCTCACCAGACTATTGAGTCTCTTCCTTATCCGTGAGGATTTCCTGACCCTCAGAGGGAAGCCTGGAAGGTTGTGAGAGATGCTGTGAGGAGGTCTGGGGAGTGGAGAACACCACTGTCCCTGCCTGCAGGGCCTGCAGAGGATGGGGGTGGGATCACCTCCAGAGAGGTCCCCCTCGAGACAAATCCAGTAGATGAGAAGTGAGTCAGTTAAGCACGTATGATGCACCTGGGATGCCTGGAGTGCTGGGCTAGGTGTGGCAGGGATACAGAAGAGGCCGAAGGCTCCTGCCTAGGCAGCCTGATGTGTGGAAGTCCTCCCTGGGCTTGGGACACTGGACGGGCTGGGCGGGGCTGGGCTGGCCTTGAGTCTCAGCTCAGGCCCTTCCTGGGCGGGAGTCTTCACTGAAACTTGAGGTTGGGTGGGGTCCAGAGAAGGGAACTATTATTAGCACATGGGCCCTGTCTCTTGCATAGGGACCTTGCAGTCTTTGGGAGAATTAGAGATGGAGGGAAGTAAGACACACACATGCGTGCAGGCACACACACACATACACACACAGGCACACAGGCACACCCACAGGAAACTGGGAACAATACAGAGAGAATCAAAGTGCTGAGCTGTGTGGAGCTGCCTGCCTGCCTCTGCTTTGGAAGGATTTGGGGAGGTGGAGTCACAGTGAACCAGTCACATGTGAAGCCAGGGAGTCAGAAATGAACACTTATGTGCTGCACATGGAGGAGATGGGCCTGGCTAGAGTTGGGGATTTGTGACAAATCTGATTTACTAAAGAAAAGAAAGACTAAAGTTGGGCGCACACAGACAGAAGGGCTCATGACAGAATCAGCGGTCTTAGAGCCAGGAAGGGGCTGAGAGGCATCAAGTTCCTCCCTTGGTTTTACAGACAGAGTAAACTGAGGCCCAGAGAAGATCTGAGAGCTTACCTGGGGAGGGGGTGTGTTAGGACTGGAATTCAACAAATTCAATTAAGCAAATGTTCATGACCCACCCACCAGGCCCTTCCAGGCCTACTCATTCACGTTGACCTCCCTGAGGGTGAGGCTCCCAGAGAAGCACCAGGTATGTCCATTGCACAAGAGCTGGGGAGCAAGGTCCCCAAGAGCCAGTCCTGCCATCCACCACAGTGGAAGCGGGGCAGGACGGCCATGCCCCAGACAGGGGACCCCGGCTAGGGAGGCAGATGAGGAGGGCCTTAAATGCTGGCCTTCTAGAGGCTAGAGGGGGTCACTGAAGGTGCTGAGGAGCGGGCAGGCGAGAGGCAGAGGAGCTGGAGCAGTTGAGCTTGACGGCCTGGACCGGGGGCTCCTGAACCCTTTCCTTGGGCTCAGACACACGGGGACGGTAGACGCCAGCTTTGTTGATGGAAATTTGATTTAGACTTTTTTCTGTGAGAATACGCCTGGCACACAAAGCCAGGTCCACATGGTCTCGTTTTCCCATCGATGGAACAGTGGAGGCTTTCTTCTTTCTGGTGTGTTCTGGCCATCTTGTTGCTTCCAAAGGTGGGAAGTTTAAGGAGGGCAGGGGAGGAACTCTCTGGGTCTGGCTGTAGTCAAGGGTGGGTGGGGTGACCAGGCCTCCCTAGGCCAGGAAGGAGTGAGAACACTTTCCCTCTTAAACTCCTAAGTCCAGTAGGGTTAAAAATAAAACTTACCTGGATAATTAAACAAAACATCACATCAGCAAAAGTAAGTACAAAGCTCAGCCGTTCAGGTTTGCCAAGTTGTAGCTGGTGCTGCTGCCCGTCAGAGCCAGGTGGGGGAGGTGGAAGGGAAGCCTGGCCACCCTCCAGGCCTGATCGGGGCTGCGGGCCCATGGGGCTTGGAGGCTGCTAGGAGGAGGAGAAAGTCCCTGCCGGTCAAGCGTGATGTGCAGCTGGCAGGCCTCTCCTCGTTCCTTCCTGGAGGAGGCCCTGGTGGCGCACCCCCTTACTGCCCAGCAAGGCATGTGCTCCCCAGCCCCACTTATTGTGTCTATCGGGTCTAGAGGAGCCGTGGGGCTGGCCTGAGCCGGTGCAGCTCTGGGATCTGAAGGATGACCCAGACACCGAGCCCCAGCATCCCGGCTCCTCTGCCTGCCTGTGCACGATCCGTGTTCGGCCTGTTGACTCCTGGGCCCTCAGTAGCATTCAGTGGGCATTCGGTGCTTCTCTCCTGGCTCTGACAGTCAGCTCCCAGTTACTTCACCTGTAAAAGGGACTAATGCCATCCCTACCTGCCTTAGGGGATTGGGCCTTACAGTGATGAAAGCTGAAAGGGCTTTGTACATGTAATGAGAGTGATCATAGCGATTGCCTTTCAAGTCTGAACCTTGTCTCCATGGGGTATCACATTCCCTGGACACTCTATTCCTCAGGCCTACTGGAGAGCAAAGGCTGTGCTCCTGTGAATGGGGAAATATGGTTACAGGGGCTTCTCTGCCCCATTAGCGCCAGTGCCCGTATCCTCGGATGAGGGGCGCCCACTGTTGAATGCTTCTGGCCTGTTTGCAAGTTGTAAGATGTAGCAGTAACCCCGCACACTGACCTGTCCACACTTTTCAGTGATGGCTTGCCAAAGGCTCCGTGGGTCTTCTTCTAGTGTGTGAGGTAGGGCCAGAGTGTGATCTTCCCACTCCCGGGGGCCAGCCCCATGTGCCATCTTTAGCTTGTTTGAGAGAAGTCACCTACCCATGCTGTGACCATTGGAAAGTGGCTCAGCCTTGGTGGAAGGACCACCGGAGTGAGAAAGCCTGGGCCTCAGATGGAGCCGCTCCTGCTCTTACTGGGTCTCTGTTCTGAGCTGCCTTAGGGCCTATGGCCTTCCTTCCTTTCCCCAGATTCAGTCTGGGGGAGAAGGGATAGAGGGCACCCCCTCCCCACTGGTGTCTGTGTCCCTGGGCACTGGCCTTGCTCTTCCAACCAGTAAAGGTCGTAATGACAGGTTTCCAGCCAAGAGAATCAGAGCCGGTGCCAAGGCCTCAGACACATCCTGTTTTCAGCATCTCAGAGCCACCAGGGCTTGGTGCCCCCCGTCCCCAGAAGCTGATGGGCCTTGTGTCTGCGGAGCTGGAAGGGCCGGTAGAGACGGTCAGGAGGGTCCAGCCCCTTCTCGTACAGACGAGAGTGCCTCACCAACATGTCACCCAGGCAGCAGAGCCTGGACTTTCCAACCTCAAATCCAGCCTTCTTTCCACTCCATCGCTGTTCCACCTCCAATTTCCTAAGTTCTGGGGGTCGGGCCCAGTGTCTGGAGAAAGGAGGAAGGGAACTGACCTCATCAATCCCAGTCTGAGATAAGTGTGGACAGAGATATGGCCAGATCATGTGGATGGAGCAGCTGATGGGCTCTGGTGTGTCAGCGGCTGCGTCCCCCCAGTGCCTGCTGCTCGGGCACTTGGAGCCTCTTGGGCCCAGGACCAGCCCCACACGGGGCCAGCACTTGTCAGAGAGGCCACAGGAGGAAACTCGACGTCTCCTTTTCCCATACTTGTCATTGAAGTCCAAGGTCCCTTCGCTTTATCCAGAAGTGCAGCGGGGCAGCCTGGGGTGGAAGGGGAGCCCCACCTCTGGAGGACCCTCGTCAGATGGGTGGTGGCGGGGAGTCTTCCAGCCAAAGATGGCGCCCGCTGTCCCTTTCTGCACCGTGGTCCTCACTCACATTTGGCTTTCGTGACATTTCACACTCGCTCACGCGGGACTCCCAAAAGCCAGACGAGGTCAGGGAGAGAACATCTGCTTGGGTGGGTCAGTGACAGCGGCCAGCATCTGGAGGAGGGGATGCAGTTGGATCGTGTGAAGCCCAAAAGAGGAGAGATTGAGAAGTGATGATGGTAGAGAGATTCTTCATGGGATGGTGGGGAGCAGAGCCACAGCCCGTGCGGGAAGGAATGAGTGAAGGCGTGATCTGTGGTGTTGGGAGGGAGGCCAGAGATAGGGCAACACGACGGACGGACGGATGGACAGACGGATGGACCTTGGTTTCCCTGGCTGGAGTTAGCACTCGGGCTCCTTGTGGGGGCTGCTCTTTGCTGCTTCTCAAAACCCTGCCTCCTGACACAGGCCACAGCAGCTTCCCGGTAGGGACTGTGGCTGGGTCTGCGGCCGGGGAAGGCGGGGAAAGGTGGGGAAGCTTTGCCAGCCTCTGCCTTCTCAAGTCGCCGTCACTCTTGGCACTGATGGGTGTGCTGAAATCTTCCAGGCTTGTCTTTCCATCTGGTCATCATTGTCCCACTTCTGCCTTCCTGCAAGCCCCAAGTGGCTCCGAATTCTTTCTGTTTGTTGCTTTTGCTTCCATGACATTCATCCAGCCGCCGTTTATTCAGTAATTCCTTGACCGACAGACACCCACTTTTTCCCAGGTCTTTGCTACTCCCCAAATATTTTTGGAAATACGGACCTTTCCCTTTGGGGTCTGTACCTGGTCCTGGCATTGCCAGATCAAGGGGTGGGTACAGTTCGTGCTTGGATTGTCTCCACCTTGAATCACTGACTTGGATCATAGATTGAGAACTGGCAGAGGCCCTCGAGGTTAGAGTCTCTGTCCCCTCGATTTACAGATGAAGTTGAGGCCAACAGAGGGGAAGGGACCTGCCCAGGGTCGCACGGGGAGGAGGCGGCAGAGCTGGGCCGTGAAAAATGGGCGTTTCCTTGGGGGTTGCTGCTTGGTTTTTTCTCTAGAGCGTTTTCCTGCTTTTTGAAGCCTGGAGAGAATGATCTGGCAGTCAGAAGGGGAGCAGGGTGGGCCGGACTCAGGGCCCTGCCCCGACTCTGCCAGGATTGACCCTGACGTTGTCTGCTTTTGTTTCCATAGGTTAGAGGAAGTCCCCCTGGAGGTGCTGAGACAGAGGGAGTCCAAGTGGCTGGACATGCTCAACAGCTGGGACAAGTGGATGGCCAAGAAACACAAGAAGGTGGGTGAGCCAGGGCGTCGCGGCCCCTTTCCTGAGGGGCGTCCTCTCCAGCGGGTGAAGTCAGCATGTAGTTACCAGGTTCCTGCTGTGTGCCAGGCCCTGTGCTAAGCCCTCTGGGCGCTCTCAGGCCACCCCCCGTGGATGATGGGGAATATGGATGGCAGAGGAGGGAAGGTGCCGGCCGAGGGAAGCCGGGAGGCCCAGCGGGCAAGAGAGCGAACGTTCCAGGGGTGGGAGGCAGAAGGCAGACTCTTGTGCCGGGAAGAGCCGAAAGGTCAGGGAGGCCGATGGGGGTAGGAGGCCTGGGCTGATCTGGAGGTGTCGGTTCTGTTGCCGGGCCCCCACTGTGATCCCCACTGCTGCTCCTGAGCGGGGTTCCCCATGAATTTGCTGACGACCGAGGCCGGCGAGGCCTTTCAGAGGCGGGTGTCTGTCCTCAGCTGGGAGAAGCACTGCTGGGGCCTTCTTCCGGCTGGGCCCAGGGTCCAGGGTACCCATTGGAGCGCCCCTCCTGCTATAGTTAGAGAGAGGGGCTTGCGAGCCTGAAGCCGCTGCTGCCTTGGGGGACTGGGGCCAGAGCCTGGGGTTCTGGAGCCGCCCTCATTCCTCTTTGATCCCGTCGTGGTTGTTGGCATCCTTCCCCCTAGGTCTGCACCCTCACACCTCTTCCCTTGGTGAGGTTCTGGAGCCTCCCAGGCCCTAAGCTCGGGGGAGGGGCCCTGGATCTGCTGGGCTGGAGTCAGCTTCCTCCCTGGGTGGCCTTGGAAGGGGCGAGGATGATGAGAGGCCCTGGATCTGCATGGGGGCAGAGGGCCCAGGGGACCTTGGGCCTTCCCTCTTTGGAGCGGGCTCTCTGCTTAAGCTCCCAACATTGGCCCGTGTCCCCCCAGGACCCCTGCAGCCTTTCTTTGTCCCCTGTTCCTCAGACCACCTTGAGCCCTAGCAATGTCCCAGCTTGGGACCAGTGACCAGGAGGCCCAGAAGCCCTGGCCTCTGATGCCCCTTTCCTCGGTAACCTTGGGCATGTCATTTCCCTGTTCTGGGCCTCAGTTTCCCCCTCTGTAAAATGAAGGGCCTAGGCTCAGCGGCCTGTGAGGGCTGTTCCATGCCCTTGTCTCCTCAGCACTGAGTGGTTTGCTTCTGAACCTTTGGAAGTGTTGTCATTGGGTCCTTCTCCTGGGCCGTACTCTTGGCCTTCCACCTCCCATGGCTCCCACTGCTTCCTCCTCACTGGCAGGGCTGCCTGGGGATGGGCTGGGGGAAGTATGGAGTGCTCCAGCCCCAGCCCAGCTCATTCCTCGTGCAGGTCCTGGTCAGAGAGGGCCCACTCATGCTGGTTGCCTTGGGTGGTTTCATGTGGCCCTGGCTTTGCAGCCTTGTGCAAGGCAGCACCTGCCTCTGGAAACAGGGCCTGGCCTCCTCCCGTGCCACATCCCCCTGGTCCTGAGAGGGCGGTGCTGGGGACCTGTTCCTATCAGGAGACCCAGCTTGGCCTGAGCTGGCAAGGTCTCTCCTGAGGCAGGGCTAGCATGAAATTCTCCCATGTCGCGATATTGCATTCCTTCAGACCACCAGGAGCGGCTGGGCCTGGAGAACGCTTTTTCCCTGAGTGTTTGTGCCTGGAGTGGGGTGCCCTTGTATTGCCGGGGTGGCCTGGGCAGGTGGGGAGCCTCCAGCTCCCCACCAGCGTGCTGAGGCTTCGGTTAGGATCCCTCACTTGGCATCCCAGTGGAGACTTTTCCCGGAGCTCTCCAGTGATCCTTGCAGGGACACTGGGAAGGGGACAGGAAGGAAAACTTTGTTTCTCTTTTGTGAATGAGGAGACAGAGGCCCCGGGAGGCATTCTCTGCGGCTGCCTCAATGACAGGGCCAGCCCTCGGCCCTCGGGGCTCTCCTGTGTGATGATTAAGGCATTCTCTGGGTATTTTGACTTTTTGACCCCTGATCCCCTGCTTTCTTCCTGTGGCGCCTGGTCAGTCAAGGCCAGAAGCCTAGATCTGGGCTGAACTCCCTGAGCAGGAGGGCCATTCCACGGGCCTGACCCATGGGCCAGGGTGTGATTTTCTTCTTTCTCTCCGTGATTCCTCTTGGTGAGCTCCCTCTCCACGGAGGTCTTCTTCTTCCTAGCCAGCCGATTTACTCCTCAGCTGCTCACGTCCACTGCCCCCCCCGCCCAGTTTGTCACTGTCTCTGTCTTTCTCTCCATCCCTGGTCCCACTGCTCCCTGGCTCAGTCAGAAGGCTTACAAGCTTCCCCTGAATATACTCTCTAAGTGTCCAGTGCTTTCCTTCCCTACCCCATCCTGCCTCCGGCCAGGCCTTTTATTTATTTTTTATTCATTTATTTTGATTTATCAGCAATCACTTCCATAAGATTTTGAGTTTTAAATTTTTCTCCCCCTCCCTCCACACTTCCCTCCCCAAGACGGCTCACATCTGATACAGGTTCTACATATACGTTCCTATTAAACATATTTTCACATTAGTGGTGTTGTAAGTAAGACTTTGAACCAATAGGAGGAAATCACCAGAAAGAGGAAACAAAACACAACAGAAGAAAAAAAAAAAGGCAAATAGTCTGCTTTGATCTGCCTTCAAACTCTGTAGTTCTTTCTTTGGAGGTGGATAGCATTTTCCATCATGAGGCTTTTGGAGATGTCTTTGATCCTTGTATTGCTAGGAAGGATTAACTTTATCAATATTAGTCATCGCACAACATTAGCCAGGCCTTTTAAAAGAAAGAGGGGAAACCCAGCTCCCGGGGTCCTTAGGGGCTTCTCCTGGCTTTGAGAGATGGCAGAGCTCTGGGGGCTGGCTCCCGCTGGCTGTGGGACGTGGGAGCCCACAAGGATCCCCCATGGGCCACCACGGGCAGTAGCTGGGGCTTCCCACTGCCCTTCTGGGTCTGGGACTCTCTCTCTGACCCGGTGACCTCTGAAACAGTCCCTGCTGGCTCTAACATCCTGAGAATGTGATGGGAAGTTTCCTGGCCCTCGTCCTGTGGACTCCACCCCACCTTGGGCACACCTAGGCCCGGCTCTCCTCTCTGCACCCTGTCTCATCCCCCTTATCACCACTCTTCTCCCAATCATGCAGCTAGTGCTTGGGCCCACCAAGAGGATCGTTGGGGGGAAGGACTGTCTGAGGCTGGCCTCCTATGGACAGCTGGGGATGGGGAGAGCATTTGGGATCAGAGATCTAGACTCCGGGGCAGGTAGGTGGTGCAGTGGATAAAGCACCGGCCCTGGAGTCAGGAGGACCTGAGTTCAAATCTAGCCTCAGACACACTAGCTGTGTGACCCCAGGCAGGGCACTTAACCCCCAGCTGCCTCGCCCCCCCCCCCAAAAAAAAGAAAGAAAGAAAACCCCCCAGAGATTTAGACCACAAAGATGCCTCAGAACGGCTAGGCCAGCCCCCAGACTGCAGGAGATAGGTCCCTTCTGTCTGGGTTGGGCTCTGCCTTGGGGGAGCTTTGTTCTTCTGGCCCCCTCAAGACTCGAGATGGGGAAAACTGGGTATTCCCAGCCTGTCCCTGGGGCCTCTGCGGCTGGCCCATTTTCTTCCCAAGCTTCTGAAGCTTTCTGAGCCTGTGCTGGCCGCGCATTGCCTCTGATCAGTGCCAGAAGAAGGTTTGGGGGATTCCCTGTGCTCCCCTAGGCTCCAGGTCCGATTGGATCCGAGGAGGTAAGCCTCTGTAGGAAGAGGGGCTGGCCCCTGAAGCTTCCGCCTGATTTTCCTGGACAGTAGTTTGTCAGGATTCTCCAAGGGCCTCCAGCTCGTACAGTTCTGTCCCTGGCAGCGTACCTCTGTGCCAGTGCCAGGGACCGTCCTGTGCTGTAAATGTTTGTCCCTTGGGGCTCACACGGCAGAGGAGAACCCAGGGATGGGCAGTGTTTGCCGGGGAAACCCAGGCTCCTTGACAGGCAGGAAAGCAGGCTAGTTACCTCGGGGCCGAGGAGGGGGAGTGGGGCTTTGAGGCCTGCCCAGGACCTGGGCTGTAGGCCTGCTTAGAGCTGCCAGCATTGGGAGGCTGGCCTGCTGTTGACACACCTTAGGGGTGCAGGACACCCCTCCCAAGACCTGGGAAGAGCTTTGGTCATTTCCTCCATCCTCATCTTATCACTGATGACTGGCCAGGGAATCCCCATTTTGAAGCTAACATAGGCAAGGCACCCCCTCCTCCCCTCGCCTTGGAGTAGGGCCCAGGGCAGAATGCACCCTAAAGCTCCCCTCCTGAGACTGAGCCACTCCTTTGGGCCCCTTTGGGAAGCAGGGCAGAGAGTAGCAGAGACTTGTGGCCTTGAGCCCAGGACCCTGATGGTGCTCAGTGGCATCGGAGCGTGACCTTCAGCAAATGGCTTGCCCGCTGGGGGCCGCAGGTTCTCACCTGCAAAGGATTCTTGCCTTTCCTGCCTCCCAGGGTCTTAGGAGGATAGTACTAGGTAAACTTGAAAGCCCCGTGTCAGGGCGAGTTACTGTTGGACGCCCTTCGCAGGCCACCTCAGGAGGCCCTGGCTGGCCAGAGGAAAGGACACTGGCTTGGTGAGCCCAGTCCAGGGAGGGGGGGGAAGAAGGAAAAGAGGGAAGCATAGAGGAAGGGAGAGGAGGAAGGAGGGAAGGATAGAAGAAAGGAGAGGAGGAAGAAAGGGAGGGAGGAAGGAGGGAAAGAATGAAGGATAGAGGAAAGGAGAGGAGGAAGAAAGGGAGGGAGGAAGGAGGGAAAGAGAGAAGGATAGAGGAAAGGAGAGAAGGAAGAAAGGGAGGGAGGGAGGAGGGAAAGAGGGAAGGATAGAGGAAAGGAGAGGAGGAAGGAGGGAAAGAAAGAAAGAGGGAAGGATAGAAGAAAGGAGAGGAGGAAAGAAGGGAAGAGGGAAGGATGAAGGAAAGGAGAAAGGGAGGAATAAAGGAAGGGAAAGGAGAAAGGAAGGGAGGGAGGGAGCAGAGGAAGGAAAATAGAGAGGAAAGAAGGAAGGGAAAGAGAAAAGAAGAGAAGGAGGAGGGAAGGAAGGAAGGGGATGGATGGATGTGGCGGAAGACGACACACAAAAGGGGGTGATGGGTGGCGATGCCGTTCAGACAGACAGACTGGAGAGGAAGGAAGGCAAGACCACAGCTGGCCTGGAGCAGGCCGCCTAGTCTGACCCCTTGCTCTGCAGATGTGGAGAGAGAGGCTGTGACCTCCCCCATGGTCATCTGGGTGACATCAGTCTAGAACCCCAACGGGGTCGTTCCCAAAACATGCTATAGGGAAGGCTTAGAGGGGGCCGGGCATCCCATGGAGCTGTTCCAGCTTGTTATTGGAGATGTGTTTTTTACTTAAAACAAGTACTAAGTGGTTGCCAGCTGGATTTTCAAGCACATGGATGTGGAACAGAGAAGCCAGGCCTCGCGCCTTGGTGACAGGGGCCCCTGAAGGCTGCACCCAGACAGTGACTGTCTCCACCCCTCCCCCTTCTCTGCTCCCCTCCCTCATCTCCCCTGAGCCCTCAGCAGCCACTCTCTCTTTCCCCAGATCCGTCTGCGGTGCCAGAAGGGGATTCCGCCATCTTTGCGGGGCCGGGCTTGGCAGTACCTGTCAGGAGGAAAGGTGAAGCTCCAGCAGAATCCTGGGAAGTTTGATGTAAGGCGCACCCCTCCCACCCCCACCCCGCTTGTGTCCAGATGTGGCTGAAGGGCCTTGGGGGCCCAGGCCCCGCCACTGGCATTCTGTGTCTTAGGCTGGAGCAGAGGATGTGTGGGCAGTTGAGAGATGGGGTCAGAGCTGGTCAGGTCAGGGCTAGGTGCAGGCCAGAGTTTTGCAGGGGCCAGGGGAGGGCAGCTGGGGTAGCTCGAGGGGCCTGTAGCCAGCAAAGCTGGGCACCGTCGGGCACTCCTGCCAAGCCCGCTGCCAGGAAGGGCCAGGATAGGCCAGCAGCCAGTCCACCAGCTCCTGGTTCCATCCCTCCCAGGCTGGAGGTGCAAACACCTGCCCTGCTGGAGCCTCCTGCCAAGGAAGCCTCCTGGTGAAGGCGACTTTGGAGGAAAGCAGGGCTTCTGGGAGCCAGTGATGGTGCAGAGGGAGGGCATTCCAGGCAGGAAGCCCCGCCAGTGCAGACGGGGAAGATGTCGGGTCCTCTCGCTCCCCTCCTCCACGAAGCCTTCCCCGTGCCCTGCTTCAGCAGCCACAGTGATCGGGCACTCACCCGCCAGTCACTGAGCATCGCCCGCGTGGGTGTCTGTTTTGTGAGCTGGAGGGCAGGGACGGTGCCTCTTTCTTGAGTGTCCCTTACCTCTGTCACAAAGCAAACCCAACAATGAAAACTGACCAGAATCCACCCAAAAGTGCACACAGTGTGCGCCCGCGAGGGGCCGGGCGATTTGCAGTGATCTGGGCAGTGCCGGTGTGGAGGCGGCGTCTGAGGCTCTGGGCCAAGCTGAGGCACAGGGCTGCCGGGGTCCGGGGTCCGGGCAGAGTGAGGGCCTTGGAGCCCGAGTATTCCACCCCTCGTTTCTACGGAGGAGGAGATGGAGGCCCAAAAGGGGAAGGCCACGCTGAGGGAGGGAGGGCGAGCCGGAGGCCCTGGCTGGAGGGACTTGCAGGCCCCGCCTCTGGGGCATCAGACAGTCTGCTTGGCTGCCTGGGGCAGGTACCCCCATCTCTGCTTGTCCCCCTCCCTTTCAGGAGCTGGACCTCTCGCCAGGAGACCCCAAGTGGCTGGATGTGATTGAGAGAGATCTGCACAGACAGTTTCCCTTCCATGAGATGTTTGTGTCCCGTGGAGGCCACGGGTAAGCAAAGTGAGCTGCCAGTATTGAGTAAGCACCTACTGCGTGCGGGGCACAGGGGACAATGACAGGCCCTGCCCTTGGGGAGCTCCCAGGCTTTTCACCCAGAAAAACAGAGTCCTTTCAGTTTGCTGATGCGTATCCCGCCACGAGAGGTTCTTTCCTTTAATATTTGAACAGCAGATTCCCCGGAGGACCCTGGCACATTCATCTTCATTCGTTAGCCTTCATTCAGTTGGAATGAATTTATTGGCTCTTTTCCTGAGAGCTGGGACGGGGCAGAAACACGGGCTTCTTTGCAGGAGCAGGAAAAAAGAGAGAAGGCAGGCTGCCTTGCTTTTGAGATCCGAATTAGGGCTAGTTCTGCCAGTGCTGCTCAAGGTGTTTTTCAGGTTTTCCGTGACCTCATTTGGGGTTTTCTTGGCAGAGAAAAGGGAGTGGTTTGCCGCTTCCTTTTCCAGCTCATTTTGCAGATGAGGAAACTGAGGCAAAGAGGGTGAAGTGACTTGCCCAGGGTCACACAGCTAGCAAGTATCTGAGGCCACATTTGAACTCGGATCTTCTTGACTCCAGGCCCAGTGCTCTAACCACTGCACCACCCAGCTGCCCAGTTCTGTCAAAGGGAACCATTAAAGGAGAATTGTAGAGTTGGGAGAAGGCTTAGAACAGGGGATGTCAGGGCTGGGAGGGGCCTGAGAACAGGGGATGTCAGGGCTGGGAGGGGCCTTATAACAGGGAAGGTCAGATCCTGTAGAGAATTTAAGACACCATTTGCTTCAAGCTCCCTGAGGAAACTCAGAGGGGAAAGAGAACCAACATTCATTAAGTTCCTACTGTGTGCTAGGCACACAGCACTAGGCACTTTACAGATACCTCATTTTAGGGGAGGGGACAGGGCTAGGTGCTCTCATTGGTAATGGAGACAGACAGAAGTTCAGTGACTTGCCAGGGTCCCACAGTGTCTGAGGCTGGATTCGAACTCAGGTCTCCTGCCCTGCTGCCTGGTATTCAGTCCCCTAGGCCCATAGCTGAAGCCCAGAGGGAAAGTGACTTATTAGCTCCTTGGAGTATAAGCCTTTCTGCCTTGGGGCCCAAGCCCTGGGGAAGTGCAGGGGGAGCTTTAAGGCTGGAATATGGGGACATGGGGCGCAGTGTGCTGCAGATGGAGGAGATTTGGGGAAAAGGCAAGCGGCTTGTAGGAGGAGGCCCGTGCCCAGTGAGCTTTGCCCAAGGCCACTCCAAGCATGACGCCCTATGGCGGCCCAGATGCAGAGGCCTCCCAGCTGAGTCAGGCACCAGTTAGCAGTTCTGCCCCTGGCTCCCGGGCTGGGGCTGTGTGGAAATGGGTGGGTGCGTTAAGGCCATGCCAGGCAGCCAGGGCTGGGCTTTTTTTACCGGACTTGCTGGACCCCCTTTTGTGGCAGAGCCTGCTCTGGTGGGGCTGGGGCCCCGGGGCTCCAGGCTGCCCGAGTGTAGGGAAGAGAACACGGGTCTGGAGTCCCGAGGCCTGGTGGCGTCCGTGGGTGTCTGTGAGGACCCAGCCAGGGAAGAGATGCCAAAGCGTGTGAGAAGGAAGGTCTGCCAGGGCCTGGGTGAGGGGCCTGAGCCCTGGCCAAGGGGACCCCGGCCTTCTCAGCCTGGTTCTACCTGCAGCTTGTCAGGGCAGGGTGGGAGCCGCTATGGACCTGTCCCTTCTTCTTTCTGAGTCTGCCCCTGGGAAACTCCTTCCCCTCCCTGGGCCTGGACTGGATTGGGCCTGGAGTCCCCGGAGCAGAATCCTAGCTCTTTCCAGGTGACCTCGGGAAAGTCTCTTCTCTGTGGCCTCATTTTCCTCATTAGTGATGAGTTGACCTCGAAAGGCCCTTCAAGCACCACACTAATCCTGTGATGACTCTCCCAACAGCTGGGATGTGGGTGATGGCCAGTACCACCCCCAGCCACGAGCTCTCCCTCTGGGGACCAGCACGGCTTCCCTGCTTGGAGCAGCTGGTCCAGCCCGGCCCTTGGGCCCCGAGTGCCCCGTCTCACGGCTTTGTCTCTTTCCTCCAGCCAACAGGACTTGTTCCGCGTGCTGAAGGCCTACACCCTCTACAGGCCAGAGGAGGGCTACTGCCAGGCCCAGGCCCCTGTGGCGGCCGTACTGCTCATGCACATGCCTGCGGAGGTACCCGCCTGGCCCCTTCCCTTGGGGGCTTCCTGGGGACTGCAGGGGATTCCCCCGCCTGCCCCGGCTCCTGGGGCTCCATCCCCCGCAGGGAGGGAGAGTGGTCAGAAGATTGTGGCACCCGGACATAGGGCCCAGCCTGACTCCTCTTCTTCCTACCACAGCAAGCTTTCTGGTGCCTCGTGCAGATCTGCGAAAAGTACCTGCCGGGCTACTACAGTGAGAAGCTGGTGAGTTGCAGCTGTGCCCCGGGGTGCTGCACCCGGGTCCAGGCCACATCCCAGGGACCCCCAAGCAGCCTTTGCCTGGCCTGGAACCCCCGGGTCTTCTCTCACTTTCATGCTGCCCACCTCCAGAATCTGAATGCTGAGTGTGGCCAGAGACCAGTGAGAAGTGCCGCGGGGTGGGGGAGAGATGGGTGCCCACCCCGTGTGTGTGTCTGTGTGTGTACGTGTGTGTGTGTGTGCGCGCGCGTGCGTGTTGGGACACTCACCCCTGCTCCTCGCTGCAGGAGGCCATCCAGCTGGACGGGGAGATCCTGTTCTCTCTGCTGCACAAAGTGTCCCCCGTGGCCTACAAACACCTGAGCAAGCAGAAGATTGACCCCATCCTGTACATGACAGAGTGGTTCATGTGCGCCTTCTCTCGCACCCTGCCCTGGAGCTCTGTGCTCCGTGTCTGGGACATGTTTTTCTGTGAAGGTACAGGACCTCCCTCACCCCCTCTGGGCCCCTGGGTGGGCGCGAGCCCAGGCCAGCTGTGGAGGGCGCCCTGGTCAGAGCATGAGCCCGTGCCATCCTGGGTGTTGGGAAGAGACGGGCTGGGAGGGCCCAAGTGTACCCCTTTGTGGGGGGGAGCCTTGGCATTGCCAAGGTGCCAGCTCAGATAATTCAGACTCAGCCTCTCAGAGAGGCCCAGGCTCAAAGGGTGCTCTGAGGGAATGGTAATCATTACCAGCCACTGGGGGCAGGGGAGGCCTCCTGGAGAGAAGGTAGATGACCAGTCAGAGAAGGGAAGGGAGGCCAGGCTACCCAGAGGGCACAGCCGGAGCAAAGGTCTGAAGGCAGGACATGGGAGGGGGCACAAGTCCACTCTGGCCAGAGCAGCCACTCCCAGGACCCTTTTACACCTTTGGAAATTACTGAGTCCCCCATCCTCTGAAGAGCTTTTGCTCATGCGGGCACATAGCAGCACTTTGTGTATTAGAAATTAAAGCATCTTAGTATTGACCTTGCAGACCCTGGGGACCCACAGAGCCTTGCAGGTAAGCAGCGAAGCAGGAGGTGTTGGGGAGGCCAACAGCCCCATTTTCTGTGGCGCCTCAGTTTGCAAAGCAATTTCCCTGTGACTCAGTTGCCCCCAATTTACAGATGAGGAAACCAAGGGTCCAACGCAATCTCCGCTAACATTTATTAAGCAAGTACTACATGCCAAGGTCTGTGCTAAGTGCTGGAGATACAACTGAGAAAAAGCAAGGCCATCAGGGCAGCTGGGTGGCACAGTGGATAGAGCTCTGGTCTTGGAGTCAGGAGGACCTGAGTTCAAATCCAGCCTCAGACACATAACACTTACTAGCTATGTGACCCTGGGCAAGTCACTGAACCCTAATTGCCCAAGGCCATCTCTCTCCACCAGGAGCTTCCGCTCTGAAGGGGAAGGAGATGAGAGGATACGTGGGGAGGTGAAGCCAGGCAGGGCACAGATGCAGGAAGGAGCTGGCCAAGTCCAGGCTCTGCCCTCTCGAAGGGAAGGCGTTGGGAGCAGCTTGGTGCTTCACCCTCCAGGCCGAGTGGGGTCAGCGGGGGCTTGCCCCAGAGTGGTGGAGTTGACCCACCTGGGCCCTGAGCCCCTGGCTCTGCACTTGAGGGCCCCTGCCATCACCCTATCCATTGCTCCAGAAGGCAGTCCCCCGCCTTCGCCCTTGGAGGGTTCAGGGCCTAGGAGAGAGGCACTGGGCCTGTGTTGAGGCCAGATTGTCTTTTTGTCCAGAGGGAATGTAGGCTCCCTCCTCCTCAGTCAAGGCTGGAATTAGGCCCTCACCCAGCTTATGGGAGGAGGCAGCTGCTGATGTGAAGAGCACTTGAAGTCACAAGCCCTGGATTCAAATCCCACTCAGTCACTCAGAGAGTAACCTTGGAGAAGTTTCTGGCCCTCATTGGGCCCATGTCTCCTCCTCCATAAAGTGAGGTGTAATGTGGGTGGATTAGATGCCCCCTAAAGTCTCTCCCAGGTGAGAATCTCAGGATGATTGTGGACTCCCCGCCCCACTGAGCTAATTTCAGGGGCTGATGGAACCCTCCCTTCTGCCTGCAGCCTGGGCAGCAACGTCTCCATTGCTGGGGATCTGAAGGCCGGAGGGTTCCCCGGGGAGGAAGCAGCTGAGGAGGGCCAATGCCCATGCTGGCGCCTCTCCCCGTCCTCCCTCGCCTCTGCCTCCCCCACGCTAGGAGGCCTGGCCCCGGCCAGAGCCAGGATGGGGGAGGGCTCCTCCAAAGCTTCGGTGCACTGCCCCCTGCGGGGGTTGTGAAGGGAGAGCGCCTGGTTCTGGGTTCTAATTCTGCCTCCTACTCCAGCCAGTCAGCTTCAATTTTGTGTGCCTCAGTTTATTCATTGGAGAATAAAGAGAATGGCACTTGTGCTCCTCACTTTACCCACAGTCACCCAAAGGAGTCTCAGGGACGGGGAAGCTCCCTTTGATCTGGCGGGCTAGCCAGCCCCTTCTGTGTGGCCAGTCATGATTTACCAAGTGCCTAGCATGTGCCCTGGGGATACCCAGAAGAGTCCCAGGCGGGACTGGAGCCCACTGCTGGTTGTGGCTGGCCTCTGACCTCTCCTCTTCCCTGTAGGGGTGAAGATCCTCTTCCGGGTGGGCCTGGTGCTGCTGAAACACAGCCTGGGCTCCTCTGAGAAGCTTAAGGCCTGCCAGGGCCAGTACGAGACCATGGAGCGGCTGCGGAGTCTGAACCCCAAGATCATGCAGGAGACCTTCCTGGTGCAGGAGGTATGGGGGCCCCTGGAAGGTAGAGGTGGGGCTGGAGAGCCAAGGAGACGGAGGCCTCTGGAAGGCGGGGGGGCTGGGGAGCCAAGGAAAGGGGGGCCCCTGGAAGGCAGAGGTGGGGCTGGAGAGCCAAGGAGACGGAGGCCTCTGGAAGGCGGGGGGGCTGGGGAGCCAAGGAGACAGGGGCCCCTGGAAGGCAGAGGTGGGGCTGGGGAGCCAAGGAGACGGGGGCCTCTGGAAGGCGGGGGGGGCTGGGGAGCCAAGGAGACGGGGGGCCCTGGAAGGCAGAGGTGGGGCTGGGGAGCCAAGGAAAGGGGGGCCCCTGAAAGGCGGGGGGGGTTCCAGCCCAGGCATGGGTGGTGCCCTCACCAGGCCCTCACTCCCGGTCTTGGGCACCAGGTCATTGAGCTGCCTGTGACCGAGCGGCAGATTGAGCGTGAGCACCTGATCCAGCTTCGTAAGTGGAAGGACACGCGGGGTGAGCTCCAGTACCAGTCGCCACCGAGGCTCCACGGGGCCAAAGCCATCAGTGAGGCAGAGCCAGCCCCCTGGAAGGCACTGGAGCCCTCTCCCTCCATCCGCCTGCCCCCGGGCACCCAGCTGCCAGCCGTGGGGACCAAAAGCAGGCAGCAGAAACAGGCGGAGAAGGCGCATCAGAAGGCGATGAAGGAGAAGGCCAAGAAGCAGCCCCCGCCACAGCCATCCCCATCAGCGCCCAGCCAGGCTGGTGGCGCCGGCCCAGAGGCCCCTCCCCAGGGCCCGGGCCCCAAAGCTGCCCCGGGGGCAGAGGATACAGACACCAAGGACTCACGTCATCATTCCAAGGAGAGCCTGACTTCCCAGGAGAGTGAAGACACTTACTTGTAAAAGGGGGCTCCCCGATTCCTCATTTTCCCTTTTCTGAAGGGCTGGGAGGGGACATTCAGAGGGTGGGGGAGAGAGAGCTTCCTGCAGCCTCGACGTCCTGCTAGGCCAGTAGCAAAGGGCATCTTGTGTGGCCAGAAGGTGGGGCCCTTGACAGTGGCTGGCCTGAGGGGATCGTGTGTCCCCTTCTGTTTGCTGGGCGCTGGCCCCTCTCCCTTCTCTGCGGGGGCACGGTTCTTCAGGGCCTGCACTGTAACCCCCGAGTCGAGGCCGTGGGCAGACTGCATCCTCCCATCAGTATGACCCTTACCCTCTGCCCAGCAGCAGTAAGGGGAGGACCCTGGGGGGTCAGCGGAAAGCTCCTCGGCCTCGGTGACTATTTGTTTTCTCTGGTGTTGGGCCTCGGGTTGCCCACCCGCCCAGCGGGTGGCCAAGCATCCATTCTCCAGCCTGAAGGTCCTGGCCCTGTCTGTGTTCTCGGGCTACCAGGCTCCTCTCGGTCACAGTGAAATCACATGCTTCCTGTTGCCCCATGGGGCTCCTCCCAACTCACCTCTGCCCAGGGGTGGGGGGCCAGGCCTCCCTCCCCCTCAGCCTCCAGCCCTTTTCAGCCTAGGGCTCAGACCCTCAGAACTGACCATCAGCTACTGCTGTCCTGGGGTTGGGCCCCACCTGCTGGACAGCCCCCAGGGCCCAAGGGAAGGGTCTCTGCTGAAATGGGGCAGGACTCTGCCCAGGACAGGATGGGCACAGGGGGCCCATTCCTGGGGGGAAAAGGTGTGGGTTCTCTTTGTGTAAAGTAGTGGTTTTGTACAGAAATAAACTGGGTTATATAAAGAGCTTTGGGCCTGGGCCCCCACTGTGGATGCCCATTCTCTCTCGGGTCCACATCCTAAGGCTTTTGTGGACAGACAAGTCGGGTTCAGATCCTGCCTCTGAAGCTTGTTACCTGGGTGACCTTCTTGGCCTCAGTTTCCCCGGCTGTAAAAGGAGAGAGAGGGTTGGATCAGATAGTCTCTGAGGGCCTTCTGGTGCTGATTGGCCTACACAATCCTGCTTCCTTTCTTCCCGCTCGGGACATCAAGCCTCCATTCCCAGAGCTGGAGTCCTCAGTGCAGAGGCTGGCTGGCTGGGCCCTAACCGGGGGGCCCCCATGTGGACATTCACAATTCGGGGTGGGGTGGGATGAGATCGCCCCAGTGTAGGCTCTCCATTTTATAGGGGAGGAAACTAACCCCCCACCTCCAACTGCAAGGAGCAGAGGGCCCGTCAGGGCTCCTCCCACCCTCCACGTCCATAACCCCCCATGCTGCCTGGGACTTGCACCCCTGCATTTCCTGCTCCTGGGTGGCGCTGACTGAGCCAATTTAACATATTCACTGTTCCCTGGGGTCGGGTTTGTTTGGATGGAAGGGGAGGGGGGCTCCTGTGCCAGGTCACCCTGGCACCAAGGGGCCCACCAAATGCAGAATCTGAAAGGGGAAATTGGCTTCTGGCTCCTTCCTCCCCTCAGATGTTTCCGGATCTCGGGAGGGGGTGGTGACCTATTTACTCAAGGTAGGTAGGGCCTCAGGAGGTAATATCTGGAAGGGCCCTTCCTTAGCTTCCAGTCCCAGCAGCCCTCAGGCCCAGTGAGGGGCAGCGACTTGTCCAGGATCCCCTAAGCCAGTTCGTGGCTGAATGGGGGCAGCTTCTATTTCAGTGGTTCAGAATCAAGCCTCAGCCCATTAGGTCATCCCAGCTTATTAAAAAAAAAAAAAATGTGTCAGCCTAGAGGCCTTCTGAAGGTTGCTTTGGGGTTAGGGGTGGAGGAAATGGTCTCACTTCCTAATGAGGACCAAAGCCATGGTCGGGGATAGTAAGGCCTAAGGAGAGAGGGTAAAAAGAGTTATCATTGAATAAAGGAAATTCAGAGTTCTTAAACCCAGAAATGGAGCTTCTGTAGAGCAGGATGAAGGTTATGCCCATCCCTGTGGAGCAAGGTTATGGAAGCTCAGGAGACTGAATGAAATGGGGGCATTTGGGGAATCCACGTGTGTGCTAGTCTCCAGTGTGCGGGCAGGAGTTAGGGCTGACGGGGACACCCAGCCAGGCACTAAAGGAGAGAGAGTGACCAGGGGCGACGTGGAGATAGAGGCCACCAGGGTCTGGATGGGGTGATAAATCTGCAGAGAAATGTTGACAGAGGGAGGGTCTAGCAATGCCAAAATGAGGGCATGGGGCTAATGCAATCCTCAAAGCTCCTCCCAGCTTGGACACCATGATTCTGTGCTTTAGAAGGTGTTGAACTTTTGGTCTCAGGACCCCTGCAGTCTCTGAATTATTGGGGGCCTCCCCAGGGCCTTTGGTTTGGGGAGTCTATCGATATTAAATTTATTAGTTAAATACTAGAAATCTTCAGTGATACATATTGGTTTGGCCTCATGAATCTCCTAAAAGGGTCTGGGGATCCCTGCAGGTCCTCAGACCACACTTTGAGAATTGCTACCTTAGAGTGCTCAATAGGCTTAGAGCTAGAAGAACCCTTAAAATGTGCCATCCAACCCACACGTTTGCAGATGAGAAAGGGGCTATGTTTTATGGAGGAGGACAATGAAGCCCAAGGAAATGAGACTAGCTCAGAGTCACAGAGTAATAGTAAAATAATAATGCTCAATCATTTTTCAGTCGTGTCCAACTCTGTGACCCCATTTGGCATTTTCTTGGCAAAGATACTGGAGTGGTTCGCCATTTTCTTCTTCATTTTACAAATGAGGAAGTTGAGGCAAACGGGATGAAGTGACTTACCCAGGGTCACACAGCTAGTCAGTGTCTGAGGCCAGATTTGAACTCACAAAGATGAATCTTCCTGACTCCAGGCCCAACACTCTATCCACTATGCCATCTAACTGCCCAGTAATATAGAGTTTATATAACACCTACTATATGCCAGGTACTGTGCTAAGTAAGCACTTGATAAATATTTCTTTGATCCTCACAACCTGGGAGGTAGGTGCTTTTATGATCCCCATTTTGTGGCTGGGGAAACTGAGGCAGATGGCAGTTAAATGACTTGCCCAGGGTCACACAGCTACTACGTATATGAGGCTGGATTTGAACTCAGGTCTTCAAGTCCAGACCCAGTGCTCTATCCACTGTGGATTCAATGATCATTTCCATGCTGATTCTCAGATCTATTACCTCCAGCCCTAACCTGGAAGCTCCAGCTGCCATCTTGATCAATCCAGATGTCCCATAAACTCAACATGTTCAAACAAAACTCATTATCCTTCCTCCCAAGCCACCCCCTTCTTCCTAACTTCCCTTTTTTTTTTCTGTTGAGGGCATCATCATCACCACCACCCTCCTCCCACTTACCCAGACTTGAAATCTGTGTACCTGCACTCCTCAGTCTCACCCCCTAAATCCAATGTTACCAAGTCCATCCATTTTCCAATATGACATCTCTCCTATGTACCTTCTTCAGCCTCTGCCTCCGTTTCCTCAACTATAAAGTGGGGATAACGGTACCTCCTCCCCACTGGGATTGTGAGGATGAAATTATGTTTATAAAGGGCTTGGCACACAATAGGCACTTAATAAATGCCTGTTTTCTTCCCTTACCCTTCTCTCCTGACTTTGCATCACCCTGGTGCACCATTATCTCTTCATACCTGGATTATTGAAATAGTTTGCTGGTTGACCTCTCTCCCCACTTGTCCACCCACCACTCAGAAATCAAACTGATCTTTCTAACGTGCAGGTCAGACACCCCCTCTGCCTCATGCATCAAACTCCATGACTTCCTATCACCCCCAGTCTCAAATATCAAATCTTCTGTTGGGCATTCAAACCCCTTCCTGCCTTTCCAGCCTTCTTACAGCTAAGTGGTCCGGTGGATACAGCACTGAAGTCAGAAAGACCTGAGTTCAAATCCAGCCTCACATACTTCCTAGCTGAGATTGTGCAACCCTAAGCAAGTCACTTCGCCTCTGTCTGCCTCAGTTTCCTTATCTGTAAATGGGATATAATAATGGCACCTACCCCCTAGTGTTGTTGTGAGGATCCAATGAGATTATACCTGTAAAGTGCTTAGCCAAGTGCCTAATATATAATAAGCACTTCATAAATATTTGTTTCCTTCCTTGTTCTTCTTCTTTATTCTGTATAATACCCCACACTGGCCTTCCTGCTACTCTGTGAACAGAACATGCCATCTCGACTCCAGGCATTTATTTCATTGGCTGTCCCCAGTGGTTAGAATTCGTTCCCTCCTCCTCCTCTTCAATCAATAAAAATTGATAAAGTGCCTACTATGTACCAGGCACTGTGCTAAACACTGGAGTTACAAAAAGAGGCAAAAGACAGTCCCTGCCCTCAAGAAGCTTACAGTCTAATGGGGGAGACCATGTGCTCTTGGCTTCCTTTGTCCCACTCTTTGTAACCCCATTTTGGGGTTTTCTCAGCAGAGATACTGGAGTGGTTTGCCATTTCCTTCTCCAGCTCATTTTACAGATGAGGAAACTGAGGCAAACAGGGTGAAATGACTTGTTCAGAGTCACACAGTTGGTCAGTGTCTGAGGCTGGATTTGAACTCAGGAAGATCAGTCTTCCTGATTCCAAGCCCGGAGCTCAATGCACTTTGCCACCTTCCTTTAAGTCCCAGCTAAAACCTCACTTTCCACAAGAATTCTTCTAAATGCTAGTGCCTTCTTCCTAGTATTACGCCGTTTGTCCTGTCTGTAGCTCGTTTATACATTTTTTGCAGTAGCCTCTGCCATCAGACCAGGAGCTCTGAGACTGCACGGCTGTTTTTGCCTTTCTATAAAGAAAACATTTCTTGTTTTCTTGGTCTCCCCAGTGCTTAACACATAGTAGGTGATTAATAAATGCATATTGATTGACATACGAAAAGCACTTTGTAAACCTTAAGGCATTATATAAATGCTAGCTATTATTATTAATAATAATCCGAGATCCTGCAGATTCCAAGGTGGATTTTACAGTGATTCCTGCAGCTTTACTCCAGAAGGGTTCAGATGTGTGTCCCTAAATTTCAAAAGCTAGAATAAGTTTTAACGCTCTGCAGTAAGATCTCCACTCTCCCCACCCTTCCTCTGCAAACAAAAACAAAACAAAAACGGCCAGAAAATGTGCCAGATCAGACCCAGGGGATTTCAGAGACAGAAATCTTAACTCACCCCCGCACTGCGCCCCTTCACCCGACAGCCTACACGTAAATTACTTTAAAAATTCACTTTTTTTCTGGCACCAAAGACGTCAGAGTACGAGTGAATGAATGAATGCTTGGTTTGTAGAGTGAGTGGATGTCCTTCTGCCCCAACCCCTCCAAATTTAGGGTTCTCTCCCAAAGCTCTAGAGCTGAAAACTCCAATTGAGTGAAGGAGGTCAAGCAGGGAATTTCTCCATTCTGGGACCTCAGGGTCTATCCATTTACTATTTATTTGTCAGTCGATCAATTAATTAACAAGTATTTATTAAGTGCTTACCATATTTAGCTCCAGTCCATTCACCATTTACTAGTCAATCAATCAAGAAGCATTTAAGTACTTATTTTACCAAGAAAAGGTAGAAACGGTGCCATGAGTTCATAGGAGCTCATGAGTTACCCAGGCCCCAGGAATAAGAAAAATTAATAGAACACAGAGATTGGCCTCTGCCCTCTGGGAGCTTCCATTCAACTGGAATACAGATAAGCAAATGCAAGGTCTATTCAAAGACTTTAGAGAATAATTTCCAGGGGAAGAGCCCAGTAGATGTGGGGGGAGGGGGAGGGGGAGGAGGAAAAGTCAATTTCTACCCAGCAGCCGGGTGGTCAGGCCATTCCATAAACTATTCCAGGAGCCTAGATGC